TCCAGGACCCGCTTCTGCGGTTCCCGAAGCGCGGGGTGACGAGCGCCCCCTGGCCGGCACGCGCTTGCGGGCGCACCCACCGCGGCCCGCACCGCCAGTGCCCGCGCCACCGCGGGACAGCTGCGCTCGGACCGGCAGCCCACCCAGCAGGTAGGTCCCTGCGTGGCCGCTCGTCGCCGGCCAGGGAAGGGAAGGGGGTCTGTCTGCGTGGGTCCGGACCCCAGTCCAGCGGAAGCGGCTCACCCAGCACCGTGGTGACTTGTTCCAGGAAGGGGGGTGCAGAATGATAGAGAAATCGAAGAGACAGGAGCGCAGCGAACTTTGGGTCACTGGTTTCTGGGGGGGTTCTTGCGTGCGGGTTACCAGGGATGGTGAGGACCTTGGCTGCAAGGAGGCCACCGGGCTGGCTGCACTTCCTCCTTCTTCTCGTTTTTGTAACTCTCACCTGAACTAATGAAGGGCGGAGGGAGGGAGGGAAGAAGGTGGAAAGTTTTATGTTCTTGGCAAACATTTGTAAGGAGAGAGGTTTGATGTAGATGGCAACCTGTCAGACAGCAACTTGTTTTTTTGAAATCCATTGCTAGAGCAGCAGGAAGGGCTGCCAACACTCGCTCTTCTAAACAAACCAAGTTTCTTTTCGCCGGCATGGGGTTAGGGTGAGGTAGGTCTCTGCTAGATGCAAAAAGAAACGAAAACAAAAAAACAAACAAACAAACAAACAAACGTCTGGTGCTTAATTCGGTAACCTTGAGGGATCCTTGTTTGTTTTTAAGCTTTGAGGGTCATACGTATAGAGAGTGAAATGTCTTTATTTCACTGGCTTTTCAAGAGCCCCAATTATCCATGTGAAATGGACTTGTTCATGCTAAAGGCGCAGGCACTACCGTGGGCATGAAGAGAGAGAGCCCAAGGCTGGCTCCACTGGGTTGTGTCTGCAAAGTGAGTGTCACCGAGCTGCCTTGTCCTTGAGGGCTGTCCTGCTCAAAGTTGCTAATGAAAGATGATTCAGTAATGGCAAGGGCTGACAAGGAGGGGTGGTGGCCTGGAGAGAAGAGTGAGCACTCACTGCTTCTCCTGGTCAGTGGCGAGAGACTGTTCCTGGGGCATGTGCAGGTCCTGCCAGGGCAGGCGCCCTTTCTGGCAGCCCCACGGCTTGCTGCCCCCTTTGCATTGTTTTCTAGAGCTGTGACCACCCCAGGCCCTTCCTTGGCTGGGATGCTTCACAGACAAGCCCTATTTGTAAGGCCCTGGGTGCCCCACTCCCAGCATACACCCCAACCTTCTGAATCACCATCTTCATTTCTTTCCCCCTAACTTATCTTAGGCAACTCATAAAATGGCAGGCTTGCCCACAGATGCCTGATCTCTTTTAAAAATGCTGTGTCTAGTGGGAAGGAGGGTGACATTTGCTAATTTGGTTGCAATTACTTTTGAAGTTTATGCACAGCTGTTTAAAATCCTCTGCGATTAGTGCCATTGTTTGAGGCAGGTGTCCGCCTCCGAATGCTCTTGTTGTCTCTTTCTTCTGCTGATTGTACGTACATATATTCATTTATTGTTTTGGGGTTTTGTTTTGTTTTTGTTTTAAGCCAAAAAAATAAAAATGAAAGTACATACATTTAAAGACACAGCATTGGAAGAGCTTTTAAAACCTTCAAAGCATCATTTGTAAAACTCCCAACTTATAAATGAAGTGTAATTTAAGTGTTTGTGGTTTGGTTTTGGTTTGGGGAATTTTTTTTTTTGAGAGGAACATATTTTTTTTTAATCTTTATTGTTGAAAGTGTTGCATATGTCCTTCTTTTTCCCCCACTGACCCCTCTAGCTCCCCTCCCTCCCCGCCCAAGGGCTGCACCCACCTATTGAATGTGTCCATGGGTTATGCATATATGCATACACATTCTTTGGTTTATCTCTTCTGACCCACCCACCCCTGGGCTCATCAACTCTTATTTCTGATGTCAAGAGTAACCTGTTCCGCATCACCAGCCTTTGTTTCAGCCTCCTGTGATTTTCTTGTAAACTTGTAAAATGTAAACTTCCAGGGGAGACTCTTGTCACCACCCTCCGTTTTGTCATGTTCGCTTCCGCCCCTGTCTTGTACTACTACGGTGGCTCAGGTTGGCAAGGAGCTCTTGAGCGACTTCTTTACCTTCTCTCCCAGCTCCACTCCCTACCCTTTGTTGAGTCTGCTTGGAAAATACGTGGGCCAACTACTGGAACTTTGATTCCTTTTGCTGATGTCCCCCTTCTCTCTCAGGTATGCAGGGACATTGCTCAATTATTCACAGCTCAGTCGTTCTTATGATCTCACTGACCCCCTTCAACACTAATATTTTATTTCTCTTGTCCATGGCAGGTACTGGAGGCTCCCTTGAATACTTCATTTGTCTTTGATCATTTCTATAAAGGTCCCTCATTCCATTGTAACATATTCTCTCTCTCTGTGGAAATGACAGAATTCTCCTCTATAATGAATTTGGTGTTTCATCTAAAATTCCTTGCGCGTTGGGTCTAGGATTTTGTTTTGAGAGGGTTTACAGTACAAATCGGTGACTGGCACTCAGGAGTAAAGCTCCACAAATCTCCATAACCCAGCTTAATGGTGGGACATTCGCCTTCCTTTAAAATAGGAATTAGAATTAGTACTTCCCTTTTTGATGCTTTTTATGTTTTAGAGTTACTGATTATGTTGTTTGCCCCTGAAACTATTGCGGAGATATTAATCTAATGTGACTTTTAATAAGAGTATATTTGATTTCAGGTGATTTTCTTTTTATACAATTTAATCTTTTCTTTCTTTTTTTTCAAGTAATTAATTTCCACAAATAATGTAAAATAAAAAGCTGTTACATAATGAAATATCCCAGAGAACATACATGTATCATGTGATTCCATATTTATATAATTATATTGCCCCAAGTCAAATCTGTCGTTAAAAGTAGAGAAATTAGTGTTGTGGTGGCATGCATAACATTAAACTCATTCTTTCTGTTTCTGTCCATTACTTTGCAATCTTAACCATCTCATTTTCAAGAAGTAATGCATCTAACTTTGCTTTTTCATACCTATTCTGGCTATTAAGGCAGAAACCATGAAACACCCATAGAAAAACATAATGCTGAGGCAGAAAGGTGAATTAAAAGGCATTTCTTTGCAGTAATGGAAATATCTTTCATTATTTTAACATGTAAAGCATGTATGCACAAATTTCATATTGTCCTCTCTTCTAAAATTTTTTGTGCAAATGAGAATCAGAGGTTTCAGGAATTAGGGATAGCTCAAGCCAAGCCCAGAATCATTGATTTCTGCTCTGGGATTAAACTAGCAGATATTTAAAGGCACTCATTTTGGCAGCATATACTTTTAACAGGTTGATATAGGGTAATGCTAACTTTGAATTAAGCTGATAATATTGATGATAATAATAATCAGAGCCAACAAAAACAGTAAAACATCGTTTTATTGAGACATTATTATTTATAATTTATGTACCAGATTTTATATTCCCAACTTTATTTATATTTGACAAACATTCCTATCTCATTTAATCTTTGCAAAGCTTTCATAAATTAGATATTATTATTACCATAATCACCCTCATTTCACAAATGAGGAAATTGAGGCCCAGGGAAGTTAAGTTATGTGTCCAGTTTTTATAGCTGGTAAGTGGTAGTGTCAGGTTTATCTGACCGCCAAGCACTTGCCATAAACCACAGAGCTGAACAACCCACCAGTTAATTTTTTAATGGTGGTAAAATATACATAACATTTAAGTGTACAGTTCATTGGCATTAAATACAGAATGGAACAAATTAGGTTTACAGTTGTTCTAATGGAAAATAATGCAAGAATTAATAAATAATACTATAAGAATAAACTATGTTTTGTGTATTCACAACTGTAAACCTACTTTTGCCCCTCTCTGTATATTCACAATGTTGTCCAACCAGCACTACCATCCATCCAATAGAACTCTTTCAACTTGCAAAACTGAACCTCTATGCCCATTACATACTAACTTCCAATTCCTCACTTCCCCCTGCTCCTGGAAACCAGCATTCTACTTTCTGTTACTATGAATTTGACTAAGTTGAATCATACAGTATTTGTCTTATTTCAGTTAGCATAATGTCCTGAAGGTTCCTCAAGGTTTACATTGTAATATGAATCTGAATTTCCTTCCTGTTTAAGGCTGAATAATAATCCATTGTTGGTATAGACCACATTTTGTTTATTCATCTGTTGATGGATACTTGGGTTGCTTCCACATTTTGGCTATTATGAATAATGCTGCTATGAACATGGGTGTACAAATATCTCTTCAAAGTCTTTTGGCCATATACCCAGAAATGGAATTGCTGGATTGGATGTTTAATTTTTGAGGAACCATCATACTATTTTCCATAGCAGCTTCACCATTTTACATTCCCACCAACAGTGCACAAGGGTTCCAGTTTCTCCACATCCTCACCAATACTTGTTATGTTCTGTTATGGGTGTGAGGGGTAACCAGTGAGTTATTTACCAAATTATTTGATGCCTGATGTCAGAAGTCCTGGACTTATGGTACTCCTGAATTCATTGCTTTTCCTATCTCACCTTGTGCTTATATACCTTTCTCTAGTACAGAATCATTGTAATTACTACTAAAGCATTCACTGAAGGATTAGGGAAACCATGGATAGAAGGGCTCCTAAGAGATAAACAAAAGGTCCCTTTAGGTAGGGTAGCCCCTACATACATAATTTAGAAGTGATTGTTTGAAGAGAAATAGTACTGATTATACAGAGTAGGCATGATTCAACCAGAAGTTGACAAAGATGAAAATGGCCTCTCTTTCCTCTCCCAAAGCTTTCCCCTTGCTGCTAGGAGAAGACAAGCATTGGTGGTACCATGTGACATGATGTGCTTTCCTTTCTAAAACTGGGGTCCCTGGGATCAGGGCTGAATCCAACTGCCTACTTTTTCCAGTGTGTATACAGATATTGATGAGTTCTCTGAAAAAAAAAAGGAACTATGCCAATTCACAATGATATAACTCCATAATTTCCAACTCCAGCCAGGCTCTCGGACTTTCCCTGGTCAGCCCTCTTTTGCTTTCTAGAGCAGTATATTTCAGACCTTCTCTTGTCACCACTGTCCCTGCA